TTTCATGACACACAAATTATTAAATCACTTGCCATATTGTTGAGTAAGATCCATCTCAGGATAACTAGAGGCAGAAAAAAAACAACATCGTCATGCAGTGGGGAATTTGAGAGAAACACTGGTACTGAAACAGGACTGTTTGGATGCATTGCCTCAGAAACCAGTGATTAAACAAACTTGGGTTTTCCCGCACCCTCCGAGCTTTCTGTACACTTGTCCAAGAAATGCCAAAAATAAGAGCTGAATTTTCTCCAGAAGCAAATGGGATAGAAACCAGGACTGAGACACACCTCTTCCCACCCAGAATCAGCCAGAATCCACCCAGGAGTTTGTGGCTGTGAGGGTAGGAAGTTGGGGCCAGAACCCTCCCTATCCATTAGCATGGCTGTCTTGGATATCACACAAGGCATGGCTAGTTTAAAAAGAAGAAGGAGAAGAAGAAAAAGAAGAAGAAGAAGAAGGAGAAGGAGAAGAAGAAGCACTCACTAAAAACAAACAAAAAACTACCATCAGATTCTATGAGCAATAAGCTAGCTTGGAAAGCAGCTGGAACTACACACACATTTCTCAGATGAGAAAATAAAGGCACAGGAAGGTCAAATAATACATCCAATACAGCTGGGGAGAGGTAGTCAAACCCTGGTCTTTTGGACTCCAAAATGTGTTCTCTTGTTGTGATGCAGTTTCCTAAAGATGGATGCGATGAGTGTCTGGCTGACATCTTTGGCCTTTTCAGAGTGGAGACAGGTCACATTCACGGCTGCCTTAGAGTCTCTCCTGAGGCAGAGGCAACTCTTTACCCCTTTGGAATTGAGGGGCCACATGGGGAATTCTGGATTTCTTGTCCCAGTTTATGAGTAAGTTATTTTTGATGTTGAGACCCAATTCCCTACACTGTTCTGGTTCTTTTTCAGGGTATTGGTGTTCAAGATTAATCATCTCCCACTTGAGAATCGTTATCTCATTTATCAGGTGCTCCACATGTATTATTTTAGGGAGTCCCTTTCAACCTTATGAAGTGGGTTCTTCTGTGATTCCTGTCTAACATATTAGGAAACTGAGCCTGAGAGCCCAGGAAGTGCTAGACCCAAGAGTCAATCTTAAATTGATCTGACTCCAAAGACTGCTCTCTAAAACACTCTGCCTTCTTAAGCTACCTGAAAAGTTACAGGCCTTTAGGCGTAAAAGGCATTCTCCTCTTTGGTATACATATTCTTTTTGGAATTATATTATTGAGTCATTCAACTCACTTTGGCCAAGTTGGGCAAGACATCACATTTCCTGACCTATGGTTTTGCACACCTGCCTCTTCCCCCAAAAGAAACCCCTACCAAGTTACTCTCTCAGAGAGTGGGATCAGGTCCCACAAGATGACAACTACAGCAGCTGTTGAGACAGAAGCTCAGATCTTCAAGAGGCTGATTTACAGCTGAGAGGCCAGGAGGATCCCAAAGTTGGGAGGAAGGAGCATGGAACTCCTCAAGTCACATCATGGATCCAAATCCTACAGGCTTGATTTTTAAACCTGTATCATACCATATCAAGCCACAGAGTTTAGAGGAGAGGAAAAAATGAATGCTGATGGAGTTCCATTTATAACTCACTGGCCAGAACGCTGTCTTCACTGGAGACTGGGAAATATCTATAAAGTAGCCGAAGCCAATAGGGAGAAGGGGACCAGAATAAATACTGGGTAACCAATCTATAGTTCCTGCCCCTATCTTTGACAGCTACCCTGATAAAATCCTCAAATAAATGATATACTTATGTAAACATGCCCAACCCAAGGAAAAGTCAGAAATTGGGAGGCAAAGAGAATGTTGGAAGGTATGAATTTATCAAGATGACCAGGGTGGATCTGAGAATGACATAACCAGGTTGGCATATCTAAAACTTTAACACAAGCTACAGGGTGACTCACCACATGAAGCAAATGCTTAACTCAATCACTGACAGTAAGGAAGGGCAGAACCCATTGGCCATGGTTTATTCCACGTGGCACTGAATGCACAAAACCCCATATCCTGCAACAGACAGAATGTGTTCTGCATGAAGAGCAGAAGAAGGAAGATGAAGGCAGTTCAAATGGTGGGTATCTTTCGTGGAATCGAAACTGACCTGGAGGACCACCTCATTCTATCATCTGGGACACATACTCTGATGTGGGGGAGAGTTATTTCACAGCCCCCCGACCCCCGCCAAGAGCCCAGGAGAAACAGGTCACAAAATTGCCCCATTAAACTACTTGCTGAATTTTAGGTTGACTTCTCACATGCCTGAAATAGCATATAGGTGTTTCTTGGCAATGTATAAAGAAGGTTCCACAGTTAAAATGATCAAATTTACATGCGGGTATCCTGTAAACTTAGATGGCATGAATTACTTCCATAGGTGTAGTCAGCTCTGAATGCCAACACAAGGCCAAACACAATTCCTTGGGCCTTGCGGATCCCATCACATGACATCCCCCCTGTAACACCGCCCCCCCCCCCCGATATACCGCCCCACCCCACCACACACACACTCGGTGGCTTTTTCTGTATGGTCAGTTATACACTTGTTGCCTTTTCTAATTGCAGCAGAAGGCAGACTGAAGCTCAGGAACTGAAGGGAGGACTCTCGCAGTCATAGGCACCCCAAGGTGAAATGCACTGCCTGGGGAGGCACTGGGTTCCCCATCCCTTGACATAGACAGGCATGGTTACAACACTATAGAAAGATTCTCAGCATCACAACAAGAATTGACTTTAAATCCCTTTTGTCTCCAAGGTCCTGTGGTGCCCTGAACATTGCTATGTCCATATTTTTTTGAGTCCATGTAAAGCTTAGACACAATTAGAGGTGTGTTCACACATTCATTGACTTGTTCCCTCATTTTTTAACTTATTCAACTAATATCTATGTGCATATAATTCACCATGGGTCATGCCATGTGCTAGGGCTGAGAGAATGGAGAAAAACATTAAGCATGCTGCCTCCCAGAAGGGGGTCCCTGGCATATTTGGTGGTGCTACGCAATGAACACACACATATACATATATACACACTCAGCTGAAGTTAGAGAAGAGTTGCTAGAGAAAAAAACATCAACAGTTTTAAGAAAAAGGATCTGTTATCTAATCTGAAATATTGAATATCTCAAGGTGTTTAATAAAGTTCATTGTTACTGTGCTTTTTCACAGAGCAGTCATTGGTGGCCATGCAGGCAAGGAGTAGTGTATATGTGAACATCAGTCTTACTCAGGAAACTACAGGCTGTCAGAAATAAAAACGTTCATAGACAGATCGCTGAATCTATTCCCTTCATCTGCCATGGCAGGAAAGTGAGGCCAAGTGAGGTCCAGTAATCTGTACAAAATCCACTGTGATTTTTTTAGGGGAGCCAAAGCTGGAATTAGGTGCTTATGACTGTCAGACTTGAGAATTGTCAACTTGATTTAATGTTTTATTTTTGACGTTGATGATGATGATGATGACAATGGTGAAGATGATGACTAACGTGTCAGACAACTCTCAAGATGCTTTAAATGCCCGCCCTGTTGAATCTGCAAAATAAGTTGTGTAGTTAGGTGTTATGGTCCTCATTTCACAAAGGAGGAAACTAAAGACTAAAGAAATTAATTGCTTTGTAAAGAAACAGAGTCAGGAAATGGCAGAGTCAGGATATGAACCCAGGTCTGCTTGACTCTCAGAGCTCATAACTGGGCATTATGCCTCGTGACCATCTGGTCTGCTCTGATGGACTGCTTGTTGATTTGTTCAGGACACCCAGGACTACAAGGAATCAAATATAAGTCTTAGACCCCAGCTTAAAGCCAGCTAATGTTTGTTCATCAAATCTTAGTGAGAGAAGGTTAGCTGATAGTGGCATTCCCATCCTTGTCTCCCTGTGATGAGAGCACTGTCCAGCCAAATGAAACAACACTGAGCAATGGAGCAGAGATAACTAATCTAGGGGCATGACCCACCCCATTGGAGACGTTTACAGCTGCTGCCATCACAAGAGCAGAAGCTGTGATAAGGAGCTGGGAAAATGTGTTACAAAGAAGGCTACACCCAAATCAGACTACAGACACAGACCAGAGTCAGCCTTGGGGACTCACACAGTGTGGGAGGGCAGGTGCAGATCCCAGGGTGCAAACTGTGTTTCCCTAATTTTTTTTTAAGAGAGAGGGGAAGGGAAGGGGAAAGAGGGAGAGAAACATCGATGCGAGAAAGGAACGTTGATCAGTTGTTTCTCGCATGCACCTTGACCAGGGACCTGGTCAGCAACCCAGGCATATGCCCTGACTGGGAATTGAATCAGTGACCTTTCGCTTTGTGGGACGATGCTCAACCAGCTGCCACACCAGTCAGGGCTGTGTTTCCCCCTTCAAAGGGCTCCTGATTCCTGGCTGAGGCGTGGTCTTTGTAACACCAGCCACACAACTTGGGAGGGGACAGGGCCCCTTTTGCATTTGGCCCCTGGCTAACTCTCACTTAGCTTTTGCTCCTGACACCTTCACTGTATTTGGAAGCCACAGAGAGCTGTATTTATAGGTGCCAGAATACTCAGTGCTATTCCTCAGCTCTGTGCTATTAGATATGCTTCCTCTGCCACTTTCTTTCTCCTTCCTCTTTTTTTTTTTAATTTGAGAATGTCTATTCATTTTCCAAGATTGATTCAATATAGCACGTTCTCTAAGAAGTCCTCTGTAACCTATAATCCATAATGCTCTACTCATCCAGATAAGAATAATTTAGTTCCTCTCTCTCAAGGGAAGTCATTATACCTTGGGCACATCTATATCAGAACACTCCCCATATCACATTAAAATTGCGGGTTCACATTTTTGTCTTCCTCTGTAGACCTTATGGAGAGCAAGGACTATGTTGTATGTATTTACAAGATGTAGTAAAATAAACATCACATTGCAGATTCTCCATAAATATTGCATGAATGAATATACAAATGTATACATGAATAAACTGATGGGCTCAAGTTAATTTCACAAAAGATGATCCTTTTATTGTTCGTAGTGTGATGATTGGGTGCTCGCACTCTTTTGTGACATGTGCCCCCCACAAATCTTGTTATAATGTTAGCATATTACCCATATGACATGAATGAATGAATGAATGAATGAATGAATAAAATAAAAGCAGCCCTGGTCTAATAAAGGGAGCCAAAAATAATTAATCTCATCCATCCCTTCTGTGGGTCTGATCCACAATATCAGGTATAGAAAGAATAGTTCTTGAATACTCATGATTCAGACTAGCTAGGAGGAGGGTCCATAAAGATGATTCAGCTCAAGCCACACTGAACGCATGGGAAACTAGGGTCTGGGGAGGTCAGGTGACTTTCCAATTACCATACATCTCAGGGAAGGAAGACTTTCAAGTGAGCATCATACCTACCCTTTTCCATCAATCAGAGACATGCTTTTGCCACCATTTCACAGATGAAGCAAGTATATTACTGAGCATTTATGATGGACCATGCTCTGTTTTGGAGGTGAGGGTCTAGTGGGAAATAAGGCAGACTAGTTTTCTGTGCTTCAGTGTCTCCCATCTGGGTAGGAGAGGGGACAGATGAATAAGCAGAAATGCAGAGTGTATGGATTAGGGCCACTGCACCTGGAGCTGGAAAGTCTAAGTTTTCCTGGAGGGAGATCCTGGCTAGACTTTGGGGGACTTAGGCCAGTGTGATTACTGAATTCAGTAATGGCTGTCTATGTTTATTATCAGTTTTTCTTACCCACTCATAATGAACCTTCTAAACTGCCAGGCCTGTATGGAGTAAGTTACATAGTTTGCCTTTTTAAACCCCTCAATTTCTCCTAACGTTAAGTTTGATTGTTCCCATTTAACAGATGAAAAGACTGAGGCTCCAAGCGGATAAGTAGTAATAAAGTCCCCAAACTAATAAGTGGTAGAGTCAGATCTGCCTTTGTCTCACTGTGCCCCTCCCAGTCTACCATGCCTTGTTTCAAATGTGTGCTCTAGGTGTTGAAGAATAGCAATTTCCAGATTTCAGTGAAAATGCTGCATTTCCCACCAATATGAAACATCAGCTAAGTACAGAAATTGGTGCTGAGCTCCAGAAAGAGACATAAGGGAGACTAAGAAGGGGTCTGATTGTTAATGGGCAACAGTCGAGAGAGAAAGGGAGCGAGAGAGCAATTAGAAGGCATAATTGCCAAGAGAGGTGGGCCAAAGAAGTGTGAGAAACATAAAAGGAAGGGACTCACTCTTCCTAGGGAGGCCAGAGAGGTGCACCCTATCATGATTGCTCCTTGTTGAGGTCTAACTCAGAGATTTGACATCAGAATAATCACCAAGACCTCCTGGTTAGCACAAAGTCAGAAAGTACAGAACAGAATCCAATGGGTGAGCTTTGCCAAGACTCGTTTGTTGGTAACCTCTGCATTTTCAAGAGCTCCCGCCAATCCCGAGCAGCTAAACTATTCAAGAAGTGGGTGAACTGACCACCTAGTACCTGGGTGGGCCTCACACTCAGCTGCACAGTGGAAGCCCCTGGGGAGCCAATGCACAGGCCATGCTTCAGACCAATTTAATCTGAATCATTGGGAGAGGAGTCACAACTGTTACCTTTAAAAAGTACATACACACCCCCTTATTGTGATTTTAATCTGCAGCCAGTTGGGAAACTTACAGCTACATGGGAAAAAAAACATCCAGTTTTGGCAGCAGAAAAACAACAGACAGGCCAAAAAAAATCCCTAAGATAAGTGAGGTAGGTAATGGCCCTTGTTGTGCAACCCCCCTCCACAGAGCCTTTAAACATCCTTTCTCTTCTGAGTGAATCATTTCCCACTTCTGCCCACCCTTCCTTCTTTTAATTAAGTCCTTACCCCGCTAACTGTCATCTCAGGATCCCTTCCCCAATGCAGGCCACCGAGTCAAGTCCCTTTGTCATCTCTCCTCAAAGGATCCTTGCCTCAGCCTGTAATCGTACAACCAGGAGTTAAATAGCAAATGAAGTCTTCTTGCCCACTAGACTGGTTGGTACCTTCCAGAAGCAGGAACCATACCTACTGAGATTTCCTATGTCTGAAATCCAGACCTAGTTCAGTTACTAGCACAGAGCGGGTATTCAATGGGTATCTGTTGAATGAATGAATAGATAGATGAATAAATAAGTAAAGGGAAGGATTCACCTATACTCTAGGTAATAAAACAAAACCTGATCAAATTTAGTAGCTTTTTTTGGGCATTGTTGTCTTTTTCTTGCCTCCAGGCTTCTGTTTTTGCTGTTTCCTCTGCATTTTAACATTAGCCTCTTCCATTCTGCATTTCAAAATCCCACTCACCTTTCAAAACCTCACTCCGCAACCTCCTCCTGCATCATGCCTTTCCAAATCACCCGGCAGGAAGGGAATTCCCTCTCCTCCACACTACTTGGAATCCTAATTGGAATGTGTTACTCTATTTTGTCTCAGACACATATTACCACTTTCAAGGGATTACAAGCAACCTAAAGGTGGTAATTGCCTAATTCATTTCTGGCCTTTCCCACTGGTGCCCAGTAAAGTGCCTGTCACACAGTAGGTATTCTGTAATTATTTGTTTTAATGACTGTCTGAATGAATGAGTACATATCACGGGTAAGTGGGCAATAGATTTCTGCATTCATTTTTTAAACGCAGGCAAAAGAACAATCACATAGATTTTTAGCTCATATGTATTCCAAGGATTTAGTCTTGGAAAAAATTACTAATCAGCCTTCTTTTTTTCTCTTTCTTTGTAGACCACACTCATTCCCCCCCCCCCTCACTGGAAGAGAGAATGAAGATAAGACAGTGATTCTGGATGAGTTTGAATAAATGTATTTTTCACATTGTTTAACAGTTAGAATTGATGACAACTGGTTATCTGAGGCACTGTGTGTTTTTTAAGAATGATTCACAGCACAAAAGTAATAATTGGATATAATTGTAAAACCAATTGGTATAGTTTCAGCACACTCTTCAGTTTATGGACCTCAGTTTCCCCATCCATAAAATAAAAGGGGTAGAATAGATCAGTGTTCTTCAGTGTTTACTTCCCCAAGACATACATCATAACTCATTCAAGACTCATTCATTCATTCATAAAGTAAATGTTTAATGAGCATCCACTATGGCAAGCCAAAAACATCTTCTAATGGAGGAGACAGGCAATTTTCAATAGCCATATAAATCTCTGTACTATTGCTATGTCTGGGAGGTAAAGTATTTTAACTGGGCACAGTATGGAGGTTTAAGCTAGTCAGAGGGGTCAGGAATAACTAAAATGGAAAAACCTCTTCCTGGAGTATGAGCATGGAGTAGTCAGAAAAACAGAAGCAAGAAGATATATGAGAAAAAGAGCTATTTTAAGTAATTGGCTCATGAGAATGTGGGGGCTGGCAAGTCTAAAGTCTATAAAACAGGCTGGCAAGCTGAAGGCCCCGAGAAGAACTGATGAGTTTCACGGTAGTCTGAAGACATTTCTCTCTTCCTCAGGGAACTGGAGTCTTTGAAAGCTTTCAACTGATTGGATGAGGCCTGTCCACATAATGCAGGGCAATCTGCTTGATGCAAAGGTCTGCTGAGTTCAATGTTTATCTCAGCTAAAAAAAAACTTCTTCACGGTAACATCAACATGGGTACTGACCAAATTATCTGGGAACCACAGCCTTGCCAAGTTGACATATAAAATTAACCACCAGAGGAGGCCAAAAAAAAAAAAAGTGCAAAGAAAGGCCAGGGTGGCTGTGGGGAATGCCTGGAGAGAGGATGGTGGGGGAGGAGACCTAGAGCAGAGAGGGGCATGGCCATGCACCTCATGAGCCACGGAATGGATGTGTGTCTTTTTCCTACAAGTAGTGTGAAGTCTTTCAGGAGTTTTAAAGCAGAGGTTTGGCGTGATCAGATGTGATTTGCAAAATCAACACTGTGATGAAGTTATGAAGTTATAGGGTGTGGGGAGACTGGTCTGTTAAGTACAGCAGAGAAGAGATGAAGAACTAAGATGGCGGTGTGGCAGGTGGGGAGATGCAGCATGAAGTTAGAAGCATCAGGTGATAAATTGACAGGTAGGGTGACTGACCAACAGTCCCAGTTTTAGCACTGAAAGTTCCTCATCCTGGGAATCTCCTCAGTCCCAGGAAACTGGGATGATTGGTCATCCTAGAAGGAAATGCCAGTGATGATATTTAGGTTTCTGGGTACAAAAGGATCATCCTGAATACCTTCTATCTTGCTAAGTATTTTGTATAGAAAAGCATACATGGATGGATGCAACTTGTTGGACAAAATGTCCTTCAAGTCCCCTTTAGCTCTCCTATTATGGCTCCTTTAAACCTAGAGAATGCTTGCAAAGGCAACATCTTTAAAAATATCATATTGAGACTTGGACCTTCAATGGACAAAGCTCTTCCATCTGAGATACAAATTTGCAAATCCTGCTGACTTCATTAAACTCTACAATGGCTTTCTCAAACCAGTCTTTAGCTAGCATCAGAAAGGAATTATTAATTCATTTATTTTATGCAAAGTTAGTGTTGTGGAAGTACCAAGAGTTATATATCTTTGTCTTCACTCAACAAAGGACAACTCAATAAAAAATTTTCCTTTATTTTACATTGTCTCATTTGTATGTTCTATTGCTCTCCCTACCTTACCTCATCCTCTCTCTAGCTCTTAATATATGTATTTTTCCTAAAGGTTTTGAGAGTGAGTTGAAAACAATTTGTTTCTTTACCTTTACATATTTAAGGTGTTTTTTACTAAGAATAATGACATTCAACATCGATACCATACTATTATCTAATTTATAGTCTACATTCAAATTCCCTCAGTGGGCCCGATAATCTCATTTACATGCCTTCTCCCCATACCTGCTACCTCCTGGATCCATAAGGCTTTGCTTACATATTAATTTATACATTCATTTATCATTTATTTGTTAATTTCAAGAAAGTATTTTTTTCATTATAATGTAAATTATGCTCACAAGAGAATGAGAAAATAAGGTGGCAAAGAAACACAAACTCTGTACCTGATCTCAGAATAGCTTTATTCATTTTTTTATAAATATCTTAAATAGCTTTACAAATCACTATATTGAACGATACT